AAGGAGAATAACCTCTGACCTACTTTCGCCGAGAGTCACTCTTAAGCAGCTAAGTTTGGTACATATTTTGGGGAGACAACTTAAGAGAATTCCTTCTGTTCCCCACAATGTGTGAGTGCATTCTCAAAGCCATTGTCAAGCCTTCTTATTGAAGGTCTTCCTATTTTTTTTCTGCCTCTCTACCAAGCATGCTGTCCTTTTCCAGGGACTGATCTTTCTTGATACCATTTCCAAAGAATGTGAGATGATGCCTCACCATCCTTGCCTCTAAGGAGCATGCTGGCTCTACTTCTTCCAAGACAGATTCGTTTGTCCTTTTGGCGGTCCGTGGTACCTTCAACATACCACTTTGCCAATACCATCATTCAAATGCATCGACTCTTCTTGGGTCTTCCTTATTCAATGTCCAACTTTCAGAAGCATAAGAGGCGATTGAAAAATATTATGACTTGGGTCAGGTGCACCTTAGTCCTCAAAGTAACATCCTTGCTTTTCAATACTTTAAGGAGGTCTTGTGCAGCAGACTTATCCGATGCAGTGGGTGGTTTGAACTCTTGACATCAATTACATTGTGAGATTATAAAGAGACTTTCCCCCAGCTTTGTCTTCCCCAAAGATATGCCAAACATTAGAGGCTGTTTGCCAGCACATGGCGGGAGGTCAGAAGCTTAGAGATCTCCTCTCTGAAAGCATTAAGCCACTGTCTGGTCCCACCACAGGTGGGGCCCACTTCCTGTTGTTAAGGACTATGAGTTACTTCTCCTTGAAGGCTTGCAGCCATCAGTCTGGTCCACTGTAGGTGGAGTTCATACCCTACTGATAATGGTTTCCATGGAGAGCCAGAGAACAGGTCAAACCTGCTCAGTGACATCCAAAGTTAGGCTGCCATCCTGAATCTAGGATCCGCCCATCTTGTCACATGTGTACCCCTAATCCCTCCCCTTCCTATTGTGTGTTTACCCCTAGATCATCCCCCTCTCATTACTGTATTACCTATAGTACAACCCATTCCTGTGACGTATGTCTTTACCTGTAATTAGTGGGCTTGCACGCCTCCCAAAGATAGATAAGCCTTGGTTTGTAATAAAGAGCTCTCTCTCGGTTCTTCCCACCCTCTCTCCCCGTCCTCATTCCTCTGCTCCCTTTCTCCGTGTCTTCCTTCCCCTCTCCCATCTCCACATGGACCACCAAGTGGGGCTGAGGTGAGCATGCTACCATGAAATGTGTCTGACTCCTTTATTTTAATCTCTCTTCTATCTCTCATGCTCTCTATGATTTTATTATAATCTACATATCTCAACCGTACAATTGCGCCTATCGCACCTGTGAGTTGTGGAGGGCTGGTCTTTCTCCCACATTACATGAATCATGCCTGAAGCTGTCATCAATATCTGTTGCCACGTTTCCCACCCCCCTAAACAGATACTCACTGCTTCCTAAGCAGTGCTCCCTCTCCCTTCCTACCCCCAGTGACCACTAATAAACTTTGGTCTCTATAGTATGAGATATTGTCAATGTCTTTGTGTTTTTGTTCTTCAAACGACTCTGAAAAAATGAAAAAAATAAAAATGGACGTGTCGCGCTATTTGTCA